TGAGGCATATTATCTGGACCATGCAGGACTTTAGACCACTAACTGTTTGCTCAGTTTCAAGTCAAGGGATTCAAACAGAAGAGACTGTATAGCTTCCTTGGTTCAAGCAAACAATCTCACACCTCAAAAAGAGTCTGTGATATCATATAGGAATGTGTACAAGTGCTATGTAGGCAAGAATGCAAAGAGACGCCAGTGACTGTCACCCCATACACACAAGAGTCAAAGCTGTTTGTGCCTAAATGTCTCTTCTCATTTTCCAAAACAGGCCACTAGGAACAAATGGTACTGGGATCATTGGAATGCACATATATATCTAGCTTGTGACTGGTTTTCAATACTTAACTCTCTACTTATTTCCCAAAAAGATAGGAGTGATGGCTGCCTGAGCACAACCAAACACACAATGAAGACAATGGCTTGCTCTCTGAACAGCATACACTTTAACAAGCTGCCCCTCACAATAGCAACAATGTGAAATCACCTTCCTACAGAGACTCACTTCCCAACTCCTTGCAACTGGCCAGACTATCACTCTTTCCTCTTCCTACAATTGGGTTTCTAGCATCCTACAATTTGGGCCATATGAAAAGAAACTAGTTCAAAGGATCATGTGGATTTTTTAGCCTCAAAAGGAATTGTAAATGGAAGCTTTAGTAGGGAGAAAAAACTGTGTGGTTTCTGGATATATGCTGCTGTGTTGTGATTAAAAATTGCTGGACGCAGTTGGCCTAAGTGGGACATGTGTGTTACCCAAACATGCTCTGTGCTCTTATCATTTTAGGCTCTTCTATGATGCTGGTCAAAGTGAGCCTGTTTCATTCCCTTCATTTCATAGTGAAAGCCAACTATGGAGTCTCAGTACTACAACTGGAACTGATTCCTTTGGTCTCTTTCTGATCATGCTTTTTCATAACATTAGAAAGTCCCAAAGAACATATTAAATCAATCCTTAGGTCAAGATTACACTTAGCTGATACTATTGGAAAGGTCAAAAGTGGACCTGAGAATTGTCCAATAAGCACAAGGAGAAATGGTAAGGCTCTGGCTTAAAGAACAATCTCAATGAACAAAATGCAAACTAAAGTACTAAATGAAGGCAGGATGGAAGCAAAATTCCAAGATCTATCCCATGGCTTTCCTTTCCTTCCACTTCTGTTTTCAATCTTTGCCATCCATTTAAAAGGCAGTTCTGAAGCAGCACAAAGCTAACTCATGTCCTTCCCTCTTCCAAAACAAATCTTTTAAGGTAAATACTAAGGTCACTCATCTCCATACTTTTAACTAAAGACTCTGAGGTTAATAGAACATTTTTCAGAGAAGCAGTCTTCAAAATTAAATATGAACAGAGGCTTTAGTGCTTGAGTTCCTCCTAAGGACTGGGTGGAGCGCATCAAAACCAAAATTTATATATTATAAATTTCAGTAACCCTAAGAATTCCCTTTGCCAGAAACATTTATTCATTTTTGTCTCTATCTGTTCATGAGGTGCTCCCAAATGTTCACCATTTAAAAAACAAAACAAAACCGGATTTAGTCCCTCCTATGTCTCTTAGGTTAAAAAGTTTTAAAGTGCATGAATCAATTTCTTAGAAAAAAAATAAGAAACTAATTTCAAGTTGCTGTCTATCTCTATGATAAAGCACATGTTATTCTGAGGATAGAGTCTGAATTACAGAGTCCTGAGGACATGTCATAAAGTGACAGATTAGAATGAAGTCTTTCCAGAGCAGCTTTATAATTAATGCTCACACAGCCATGAAGTTTAGAGAGGATAATAGCAGAGATCAAAGACGATAGTGGGGAATACAGCATGGTCTCCAAAGATGGAGACCAAGGACCATTTTGTGTGAAGGCCACCTCCTGGGTAACCCATGTTGAATAAATGGTTTAAAAAAAAAGAAAAGAAAACGTCAGGGGCTCTTGACATAGGAGATCCCTTGTTTTGCAGGAAACATTCTCGACAAGGCTAGAATTACCTTTGTTTCATAACATATAGTTTACAACTTTAAAATCTATATGCTAATTTTTCTAGAAAACTTTAACACTTTAAATATGTCTTATCTAAAAGCCCTCATCTCTCAAAAAATACCAAAACAAAAAGAATTAAAGAAATTTAATAACTAGCCAATCTATGTAAAGAATTCCAATCTTGCTAGGTGCCAGTGGCTCACACCTGTAATCCTGACTACTCAGGAGGCTAAGATCTGAGAATCGCCGTTCAAAACCAGCCTGGGCAGGAATGTCCATGAGTCTCTTATCTCCAATTAACAACCAGAAAACCAGAAGTGGTGCTGTGGCTCAAGTGGTAGAGCACTAGCCTTGAGTTGAAGAGCTAAGGGACAGCACCCAGGCCCAGAAGAATTCAAGGCCCATGACTGACAAAAAAAAAAAAAAAGAATTCCAAGCTCTGTCCTACCAAGAACAACTTCCAAGTAATGGTTAATATTTATTTGTGCTCCAGAGAACAGGATGAGGATGAAGAGAAATCATTTTCACTTCATTGGTTCTATAAACTTGAACAGGGAGGGACTGACAGCAAGTAGTATTTTGTTCTGTAAGTTCAATTATTTCAGCAACTTAATATGAGAACAGTGAACCCATCACACAGGATTTTCTTTTTAGCTACATTGTACTAACAGAACAAAGATACTCCATTGAAGAAGAAAAAAATAAATAAAATTCCACAGCCAGGACTTAAAAGAGTGACCAGATAGTAACAGACTGTTGGAAACAAGTCCCTCAGGCTTCCCTGATACTACACAACTAAGATTCTAAAAGATAAATGAGGAGAATCTCACTGCAGAAATCAAAAGTGAATCATATGTTATCCCCTGGGAGCTTGCTTTGTATGGCCTGCCAACTCCATTTAGAGAGGCAATCAGAAGTCAATAACAAATAGGAAACAAGCAAGTCTTTTGCTGACTGGAAAATAGCTCAGTAGAAAATTATTATACAAAGGTTACACTTAGCTAAGGCATGATCCAACTTCATTGACAAAGGAGTGGTCACTCAGCTATCTGATGGTATAAAGCACTGAAGGTTTGCTTTTCACTGCCCAAGTAGACTAGAACAATTTCTTATAAAGTGCTAAGTTTTGACCAGTGTACCCTCTACCAAACACATTTACAATGATAAAACATTGGAGGACAGATGTTGCTCAGAGACTGGGAGGCTGTAGAGCAGACACGTTTGTCCTACTTGGACACTATGCCACTAAGACTGCTGAAGGGTCATCTCATTAGGGAACTCAGTGGACTCCCTGCAGTGCCTATTTAAGGAAGAAGGAGAAGCTGGGTGGAGACATCCACACAATGAAGGAATAAGCCAAACAAGTCATCAGTGGAGGCAAAAACTTCAATAGCCCCAATAGTAACTGGCTAATACCCCTTCCTCAGAGAACAGGGTCCCTCACCACACAAAAATTCCTCATGGGGAGTGCTATGCTGTGCCAAAACTTGGACTAGGATGGAGTTATCCATCTTTGAAGGGGCAGACTCTTTCCAAAATACCACAGGGCTGACATGGTCACTTCCTGAGTCTTCCTACATCATCCTCTTGAACTTCACAGAAGAGGTGACTTCTGTAGCTTAGAGCAGGTGGGATGCCTTCTGAGAAACAGAAACTGTTTCAAGGGCAAAATGAAATGCACTAAACAAACCACATAAATAAAGTAATAAATAAGTCCATTCAATATGCAAAGAGAGTAACAGACTTAACACAGGAATAAGTAACAAGGAGACACAGATGACTGCTAAGGTCCCCATCTCCCTTTCTGCCTGAAGCCCTGGCAGCCACTGGCCCCAGCACCACCTGCACTCCGTGGCCCCCCTGGGCCTAAGGGGGAACAGAGAAAGAAAGGCTGTCAGCAGGGAAATGCAAACTTTGGCCAGGTAAAGAATACTTACAAACAGCAGCAACAGTGAAATTTCATTATTATCTTTCCTAAGAGGGACTTTGAACACCAGAAACTTCAGAAATATAGATGAGGTTGTACTGCACTTGGTTCCAAAGTAAAATTTCTAAATAACACTTCTACTGTAAACAAAACAGGTAGTGGGGAATGTAGGGTATTTGTTTTTTCTTTGTAACTTTCTCTCTCAGACAATATTCTTCCTTCTTTGAGTCTACCAAAAAAGTAGAGGGGAGGGGAAAGGAGGGGAGGGGAGGGGAGGGGAGGAGAGGGAAAAGAAAGAGTAACACTTGACTTTCAAAGAAGGGGATTCTGAGGTCAACTGAGTACCTAATTTCCACCGGTTCTTCAACTGCCTGCACCATGGTAAGGGAAACTAATTCCGGAAACCGGAAGTGATGGAGGCTGTTTTTCTTCCCAAAAGGTCTTAGGTTATATTCATCACCAGTTTAGATTGCATGAGAGTTCTTAATGTATAGCAAAACCACAGACTTGGGGAAGAGAAAAGAGGAGGATTCTAACCACCAAGAATGAGAATATCCCTCCAAGGCAGTGAGGTCTCCCAGCCGTGCTAAAGACCAAGAATACCCAGCAGGCAGGAATATGGCAGTGGTGAGAGGCTGGATAGAGATTTCTCCATCCAAGATATTGGGCTCTTTCATAGACAATGTGCTTTTCCCTCTACTGGCACCTCAAAAGTAGAGGATGGGTGCCACTAAATGCATTAGGCTCTGGAAAGGAGCAAGCAGCAATCTGAATGATAAACTTTGTACCAACACAAATTAGTTTCTACAAGACAATTTCTACCTTCTTTTAAGCTTTTGCCTGACAGATGCCTTCAGAAAGGGATTTTGCTGGAGCCTGAAGCAACAAGATCGTGAGTCAGGGACCACAGAACAGGGGGCACTACACCACCACCTGCAGAAGCCAGAAGGGAAGAAAGCTACACAGACTCGTCACTCAGGCATACCAGGCAGGATGTGAGGCTCAGGAGCCTCACACACTCTCCTCTTGCCTATCCACAAGAGGCATCAGCTGGCAGCCTGCTTCCACCAGCAAACACAGCCTGCCCCTGGGTGAGTGGCCTTCAGCTAGTGTAGTAGACGTGGAAGTAGAGAGTCTTGTTGCGGAGCAGAGAGTACGAGTTGTCAAACTTGAGCAGGTAGATGCCCTCCCCAGGGTAGTCATGGCTGCCAGCCTGCACGTCTCGGTGGCTGTCCCGCCGATACACAGGCATGACCTCCCCGTAGCGACCCCTCAAGGAGCTCCTGGAGCCTCTCTCCACATCTCCCACTGGGACAGGTTCTGCAGGAGCAAAAGGGAAGTATTTGGATACTAGTGCCAGAGACTGCATACAACCTAGCTGAATATGAAAGCCCAGCCTAACCTTCACCTGGTAAACAATATGCCTTTCCATGAGCATGTGGGAATGTCTGCCCATCTTTTTGCTCATCATAGTATATAGGAAATGATACTAACAGTCAGTACTCCAGAGTCCAGGAGTGCTGAAGTCAATATATTACCTCTATTTTTAAAAAGGGGGTGCAAGGGAAGGGGCAACATTGTCTAAAAAGAAACATATTCTTTACCTGATTTACATAACTGTAACCCCTCACCTTTATAATAACAATAAAAATAAATTGTAAAAAAGGGGTGTCCCACTGGGTACTAGTGGCTCACACCTGTAATCCTAGCTACTTAGAAGGCAGAGATTTTAGGATTGCGATTCAAAGCCAGCCTGAGCAGGAAAGTCTGTGTGACTCTTACCTCTACATAGCCACCAGAAAACCAGAAGTGGTGCTGTGGCTCAAAGTGGTAGAGTGCTAGCTTTGAGTAAAAAAGCTCTGGGACAGCGACCAAGCCCTGAATTTAAGCTCCATGACTGGCAAAGTAAAAAAAGCGGGCAGGGAGGAGTCCCATCTCAAATGCTAATAATATCTCACTGAAAAATAGTAGCTTAGCCTGATAAGCTCCAGAAGTGCCTGAATAATTCCAAGGGAGAAAAGGTATTTACAGGGGAAGATATAAAATCCTTTCATTCAGAGATAAAAGGACTAGCTAACAGAAATAGGAAATACAGATAAACACATCTTACAGAGTGATCCCAACACTTTCTCTAGGCCCTGAAAGCAGCAAACAAGACCTAAGGTTTGAAGAAGTGAAAAGAATGATCCTAAGATCATAAGAAAAGCAAGTAATAAGGCTAACCTATTTTTAGATTACCTACAAAAATGCCTTAAAACCACACTGCACAGTCAGTACAAATAACTACAGGAATGAAGCAAAGAGATCACTTTTTTTTTCTGGTTGGTCCTGGGGCTTGAACTCAGGGCCTGGGTACTGTCCCTGAGCCTTTGTGCTCAAGGCTAGCACTCCACTTCTGGCTTTTGTGGTCAATTGGAGATAAAGAGTCTCATGGACTTTCTTGCCCAGGCTGGCTTTGAACCACTGTGATCCTCATATCTCAGCTTCTTTAGTAGCTAGAATTACAGGCGTGAGCCACAAGCTCTTGGCTAGAAACTACTATTAAAACTGCTCTGTGCATGAAATAAAGAAGGAAGGAGAATGGGTACAATTAGCAAATTATAATCATCCAGTTTTGTTTTAGGCCAAGAATAAACATCCCCAAACAGAGAAATATAGAATAATCTCAGGTCTGGATGTGATCTGGAAAACCCCTACTTACCCTCTCTCTGTTCCTGCACCAAGCCTATCCCATAGAGAGTCTGTGAAACAATTAACTTCTGATTAAAGGAAGGATACTTTCAATTAAGGCATTATCAACCCTCTTTGAGGGCTGACTTTCAGTTCTTCACATGCATTCTGTACAACCCAGGAAGTGATCACTAACAATTAGATTGAGCCAGAAAAGAAAACTGCAAGGATGTTAAAATTAAATTTACCTTCAATTTCTTCCTCTTCCTCATCTTCTTCATCCTCATCCTCACTGGAATCACTGACCTGCACAGTTATATCAGTGCTAGTGACAGGGGTCCAGTCAAAATAAACTCCAAAGCCAATGTCATAGTCATCAGTTGCAAATTCCCAGCAGACACGCTTCCCCTTTGGGTGAGTAGGTACCCGGATGGTCACTACCTCACCACGCTTCACCACCAGACGGTTGTTTTTCTCTTTACCCAGCTTGCTTTTGAATTCCTTCACCTTGGCAAGGGTCCAGATGCATGGAGGAGCCATCAGAGGTGGGCAGGCTGAAATGAGAGACATCTTACAATTGAGAGACTACAAGGAAATACTCCCCTAGGTGGCATTTTGCTTAGGAAAATTGGCGTGGTCAAAGACATTCTTTCTTCTGGCTTCTCTCATTTTGTTTCCTTAACTCATTTTTCTTTCTTACCATCTGTCTGTGTTCCTTTAAGTATTTACTGGAAACCAACAGCAGCAACAAAGAACCCTCCTTTTTAACACTTCAAAAGGTCTCACCTTTTCTATGATCACCCAGAAGATCTGCAGATTCCAAATCAGCTGAGAGAACATCTATAGCTCCTGTATGCTCAGACTGGATCATAATGATGTCTCCAGATCTTGGTGGAACATGGTATCTGGCCATCTGCACAACAGAACTCAGGTTAAAGGTTAGATGAGAATGGCAGATTCCAACAAAACTCTTTCCTGATGAAGGCTGCCCTATTCTGCCCTGATTTAATGTGAGATTCCACATTATGCCTTCTAAGTACAAGTAGTTAATAAATTTTATGTTTTAATGTTACCAGAGAATATTTAAAATGAAAAAAAAAATAGCAGGTGTGTCAGTACTGGGGCTTGAACTCAAGGCCTCAGTGCTGTCCCTGACCTTTTTGCTGAAGGTTAGTTCTACTACTTGAGACAGGGTTTTACCTTTGGCTTTGTTTTGTTTGTGGTTAATCAGAAGTAAAAGTCTCACGGACCTTCCTGCAGGGGCTGGCTTTGAACCATGATCCTCAGATCTCAGCCTCTTGAGTAGCTAGGATTACAGGCATGAGCCACCAGCACCTGGCTCATATTCTTTCTTCTCTCTTACAATTTTATAAAAGTTACATAATATTTTTTAAAATTCTAACCCCTTTGCAAAATCCTTTTCCCCAATCATCTTCTCAGCTTCCAACAATGCTTCTGACCAAGCCTCAGTCTCATCTCAGCACCCCCAGTGGCTCCTCACTTGGAGTTCATTTGACCCCTACTCTGTCACACAGCCTCCTGCTACATGAGTTTCTTCTACTATATCTAGGGTTACTTCCCAGCCAAGGTTACTTCTACATCCCCGTCAGTAAGCTCCCACTGAAGAGAGTACCTAATTTCAAGTTCTCTTCCCTCTCTCTCACCTATACCTTGAGGTACAGGGTATCATCACACCCTCTGTATCACTAATAGTGTTCTATTAATGACTGCAATTTCCTCTTAACACCAGCCTCAGAATTCTCTCTTTTTTTTTTTTTTTTTTTGGGGGGGGTGGTCTGGTCGTGGGGCCTGAACTCTGGGCCTGGGCACTGTCCCTCAGCTCTTCAGCTCAAGGCTAGCGCTCTACCACTTGAGCCACAGTGCCACTTCCGGCTTTTTTTTTTCTTTTTTGCTTATGTGGTGCTGGGGAATCGAACCCAGGGCCTCATGCATGCAAGGCAAGTGCTCTACCACTGAGCCACCTTCCCAGCCCCCAGGTTCAGAATTTCTATCTGCAAGTATATTTGCTGCCAGGTACAGAAGAATATAAATTATTTGCATGGAAGTATAATCAAAGACCTTACTAATCATGGAGCAGCCTGCGATCAACCTACAACCAACCTACAATTTAGATTGTGCTCCTTGTTTCATGTTATATCTATATTTCTTGTCCCTTCTCCAGATGGTAGGCAACTGAACAAGAAATCTATGCCTAATGCTACAGGGAGAGCACAGCAGTGAGTCAGCAATCCAGTTCAAAGCTGGAATTTATTTGTGAGAAATTATAGGTCAAGTGTGTAATGTTCCCACTCTATACTCTCACAATATCTGTTTCAGAAGAGCACGTAAGCCCTCCATTTCTTATCTGCAGTGCTAAGTGAAGTGAATCAGACTTTGTCTAGAATGCTTAAAGGAATTCTTCCTTTTTCAAAAGGCTAAACAATGGTTTTAGCTTCCAGTTAATTTATATGAGTAGTCTTACTAAGGTAATTAACAGCTCATAGCCTCAATTTCCTTATTTGTTAAGTGGGAACATAGCGGTATTTGTTTCAACCAGGTGGTTCCTAGAAATAAATGAAATGTTACAGGCAAAATGTTTACAAATTATAAAGCCTTAGACAAAAGTTACTATAATGACATAGTGCCAGTGGGTATTATAACACCTGTGCCAATTGTTATAATATTTACACTAATAATAATCCAAGGAATTCCTACATTCCATACCTGTGATGGCAAGGGGCCACTACTAACCAACATCACCTCTTTGGAATCTTTACCTTAAATACTAAATAAACCTATCACAGGAAAAGGAGGTTAAAACACAATCCAATGATTTAAGACTCGTACAGCAAGAGGACTTTAGATAAATGTGAACATTCCTCCCATTTCACTTTCCCTAAAGGGAACAAAGAGAGTTCTGGGAGCCACTGTCTGTCTAATCCATCCATTATGTGCCAAAATACTGGTGCCACAAGGTCCTTCTCTTTATTTTTTATTGAACTCAGGGCCTTCTCCTTACTAAGCAACAACTCTACCATGCAAGCCCTAGTCCTACTCTTTTTTTTTTTGTCAGTCGTGGGGCTTGACCTCTGGGCCTGAGTGCTGTGTCCCTCAGCTCTTCAGCTTAAGGCTAGTGCTCTACCACTTGAGCTACAACGTCACTTCCAGTTTTCTGGTGGTTTATTGGAGATGAGTCTCACGGACTTTCCTGCCCAGGCTGGCTTTGAATCACGATCCTCAGATCTCAGCCTCCTGAGTAGCTAGGATTACAGGCCACTGGCGCCCAGCTAGTCCTGCTCTTTTTATGAGGGTCAAAATACACTCCTTACCTCACTGAGGATCCGGGCCTGGTCTTTTGGCAGCAACTCCTGTTCCACTAAAGCCCGAGCCTCCAAGGTACGAGCAGCTTTCTGCAGATCTTCAGTGACATGCTTGCTCACTGGAGATACCATCTGTGGCCTCTCAGAAGAAGAAAAGTAGTCAATTTTAAGGGCTCTTTGAAAAGTTACAATCAACCTGGAGAAACTCTGAAATAAAACAATATTAAAAGGACACCCAACCCCTACCTCTACATTCTGCCTTCCCTGGCATTTAGGTTTGTATGACTTTAGCTGACCATTGCCCAGGGCTGAACCAGCCCACAAGAAGCAGTGACCATATATAGGCATATAGAATGACAAAGTCAGGTTCCAGCCCCTGAGAACCATGGTGAGCACAAAGCTCAGTCATTTGAGATGAGCTCTAGGTCGTGTCTTCTCTGTTATTTCTTTTACTTATTTTAATTCACAAAAAAACTGAACGTATGTATGTTGTATAATGTTTCTGATATATGTAGATGCTATGGAATGGTCAAAAGAGGCTAGTTAACATATCTATCACCTCACATACTTATTTTTTGTGTTGTGAGAGTATTTAGTACTGGGCTTTAAATTTTGGGTTTTACACTTGCCAGACAAGCACTGGTCCAACCTGAAACACATTCCCAGCCCCTTCAATTTCTTCTTAGTAATTTTTTGTTGTTGTTGTTGTTGGTCATGGGGCTCGAAATCTGGGCCTGGGCGCTGTCCCTCAACTCTTCAGTCCAAGGCTAGTGCTCTACCACTTGAGCCACAGCGCCACTTCCGGTTTCTGGTGGTTAATTGGAGGTAAGAGTTTCACAGACATTTTTGCCCAGGCTGGCTTTGAATCAAGATCCTCAGATCTCAGCCTCCTGAGTAGCTAGCATTACAGGCGTGAGCCACCGGTGCATGGCTTATTCTTAGTAATTTTTAAGTGTAAAATTATTAACTCTAGTCATCATGTCAAGCAAAGATCTCATTGAAACCTTGTATCCTCTGACCAGCATCTCCCTATGTGGTAGATGCTCTTTCCCCACTCTTTGGTAGCTACATCCTCTCTCTACAGTTTTTACTTTATTCCTCCCGCTGGTCATTACTCCTATAGAATTCAATAAAAGAAGAGCTGGACTTCCCAGGTGGTTCTATACATAAAACCACTGGATAGAAGGAAAAAGAGGATACTTACTTAAGCTCAGATTGATCACCAAACTAAAAGAAGTGCCAACTGATTAGCCAGGCAATCTCTCCTAGAGAGGTAAAGTCTTTCTGCAGCTCTATTCCATATCCTACCTTAGTTTACTACCAGAGAATGACTGCTTCTCTCTCCCATCCCCCTTTCTCCCTTCTTCCCTCCCTTTCCATCTTTCCTTCTTTCTGAAGTACTAAGGTTTGAACTCTGAGCCGCATGCTTGCTAAGCAGGCATCCTACCATTTAAGCCATGCCTCCAAACCCCAAACCCTCCTCCTCCCCTACCTTTTTGTGTTAGCTGATTTCTGGATAGTTTTAAGTTTTTGCCAGTGACTAGTCCTGGACCCTGATCTTCCTAACCTACGCCTCCCTTCTAGTATGGGATTACAGTCACCTACTACCACATTTAGCTTGTTGGTTGAAATGGAAATCTTGCTACCTCTTGCCAGGGCTGGCCTCAAACTGCAATTTTCACAAGTAGCTGCCTCCCATGCAGCTGGAATTAGTTATGTTTCATTACAATTACAACTAGCAACTTAAATTTCCTTTTAAGCACATTAATCAGCTATCCCAATGGCTTAAACACACAATTGTGAATAGTTAATTTTGAAGAGGAAAAGAATGATTTATGTTCCCATTTCCTCTGACTTCAGAAAGATTAGAAAATAAGAGCCAGCACTGTGGGACTATACTACTGGTCTTTTGGAAATCTGTTGCCCTGAAAAGGTGCCTTGGTTTTTGTTTTGTTTTGTTTCTTGTCAGTCATGGGTCTTGAACTCAGGGCTTGGGCAGAGTCCCTGAGCTTTTTTGCTCAAGGCTAGCACTCTACCACTTTGAACCACAGCTGTACTACCGGTTTTTGGCTGGTTAATTGGAGGGAAGACTCACAGGGACTTTATTGCCCCAGCTAGCTTCAAATCTCAATCCTCAGATCTCAGCCTCCTGAGTAGGTAGCATTTATAGGCATGAGCCACAGGCACCCAGCTGTTTGTGTTGTTATGGTTGGGTCTGAGATGGGGACACTTTCACTCATTGGGGAGCACTCCACCAACTGAGCTATGCCTCCTACCCCATCACTCTTTATGTCCTTGCTTCATTTTCCTTCCCTGCACTTACTCGACTTCCTTTATTTTACTTTCCTGCCTGGCATGTACCATATTTTGTTGATTCCAAGATGCACTCTTGTGTTACAATTTTAACACAACTGAAACATACAACTCTTTAAAATACTGATGATGTCTTAAAACTGGTAGCCTAGAGGCTGGTAAGGTGGCTTAGTGGTACAGTGCTTGCCTTGCATGAATGAGGCCCTGGGTTGCTTCCTTAGCACCACATAAGCAGAAAAAAAAGCTGGAAGTGGCGCTGTGCCTCAAGTGATAGCGCACTAGCTTTGAGCTGAAGCACTAAGGGACAGTGCCAGGCCCAGAGTTCAGGCCCCACGACTGACAAAAAAAAAAAAAAATGGTAGCATAGGCTGACACCACATCCTCCCACAGAAGGCTTACATGTGTTTCTGCCAGTGCTCAGAAATGCTACCAATCTAAGACAATCTGAAATATGGTCAAGGTAAGGGTTTTGTGGTTCATATCCTGGAGCAGGTATCAAGATTTCTTCCCCTTGCACAGTGCCAAATTTGACACATTCATGTTTTCTTGTGCTCTTCTGTGCGCAGGAATCTTTGGTCTGTTTATCTTTTCACTGAAGGTACAGGCTTTCAGCATCCCAGCTCCATGTGAGAGTACCCTATTACACTCTATCTAGAGAACATTTCCTTTCCTGGTGGTATATCAGATAACAGCACATCTCACAAGTGATGGTAACTCAGGCTCTATGAATAATGTTATACACTCCATTACAGCATTGACTTGGACTGTTTTGTTCATTTGTGACCTGACTGATACATAGAAAAATACCAGCTATACTACAGTAAATGCTCAATAAATACCTGCTAAATAAACAAACACTATATATACAAAAACTGTTTATTAGATTAATAACTTTGAATCATACTATATTATTTATTGAGACAGCTGAGACTATCATGGCTAATTCCAATCAGTTAACTTCACTTACTATATGTGGCATCTAAAACTGGCATCTCCTCTTTGCCTTTGTGAATGCTACTTTGAACAAATATGGTTCTGCTTATAAAAAATTAAACTGAACATGCAATATCCATATAAATTTAATATTCACATCAGCATTTCATGCTCTGGAGAATTAGTGAAGGGCATTTGGGGAAGGAGAAAATGCAAAACATTTGATATCAGTGATAAGTCACGTAAAGGAAAAACCTCTATGTTAATTAAGCTCTCTGTTCTGTGCTGACCTGGAGCAGGAAGGCCAGACTTCCAAATAGAATTTCCCAAAGAACACAAGAAGACATTAAAAAGAAAAAAATCCTTGACATTTCCTTCTGCCCCAGTCACCAATTCTGAATAGGGCATCGAGACCATGGGTTCTATCTGACAATATTATACCAGAAGCTGATCAGCTGGATTACAATATTCCATAGGCCAGTGTTCTCTAAAACATACCCTTCTATAATTATTCCATTAATGATTCAGGGTTTCTTCTCATTCTAGGACTTATCTTTAAGCTATACACTCTGGTATCAATGAAGGCAGATGGATAAGATGGACAGAAAAGAAAAATTGAGAATTGAGGTCATCAGAGTGTAATCGCAAAATAAAAAATGGCCTCCAATTGTGTGTGGGCGTGTAGGGTATTGTAACTATGTAAATACACGTATTTTATGAGCAAAAACCAAACACATTCTCTTGCAAGTCCACCTGTGGGCTATATCAACTATTTTTCACTCTTACACCTGGATTTCAGGGGAAGATAAACCAGGATACTAAATTAGTCTATTTGTTACTATTCTCTGAAGAATAAAAGAAAAATGTATAACTTGAAATATATCGAACATTGCCCCCAAATGTATTTCACAGTTGATTAATAATTTCAGTGTCTTGCCCTTTTACTGCTGCCTACTTCTTCCACTAGTCCCTTTACTGTCAGAAGACAAAACTTCTAGAAGCATTTTATCCAAAGTAGCTGCTTGTCCCTACCTGTAGGGTGAGGAGTGGGGTGATGGATCAGAGTCAGAAGCTAGTGAAGCAGTGACTTTGGTGTTTCCCAGATCTTCATCTGCTAGAAAATCATGGGAGCAAGAAGTCATTAACTGAGTGAGAACACAATCACAATTATCTCAAATCTTTAAAAATATAACCGTTTCAACCAACTTCCTGTTTCTAAAACTATCTTGGGCATGCGTAAACTTTATACATTGAGAGGCCCAGTACAAGAATACTCAAGTTGTCACATCGAAATATACTCACTCATGACCTGCTCATAAAAAGTTAAGTCATATTCTAAAACATGTCACCAAAACATTAGTTCTAATTCAAGACTCATACTTCTCAGAAAACAGATGGTTAAATTATATAGAACACAGAAGGCAGGCTGGAATGTAAAATGAATTTAGTGTCACTTTATCAAATGTTACTTATCCATGCAGATCAATGTATCCATGATCACTTTCCAAATTTAATTCATTATTTTATTCACTTCAGCCAACAATGGTTTATCAAATAACTAGGTATTTTAAAGAAGAGTAAAAATGACACCAATATCTGGTGTTATTGCTGCCATTATGCAGGTAAAGAAACTAAGGCAGCCAGGCACCAGTGGCTCATGCCTTTAATCCTACTCAGGAGGCTGAGATCTGAGGATCATGGTTCTAAGCCAGCCTGGGCAGGAAAGTCCATGAGACTCTTATCTCCAATAAACCACTAGAAAACTGGAAGTGGCACTGTGGCTCAAGTGGTAGAGTGCTTGCCTTGAGCTGAAAAGTGCAAGGCAGCGCCCAAGCCCAGAGTTCAAGCCCCACGACCGATTAAAAAAAAAAAAAGAAAGAAAGAAAGAAACTCAGGCAGAGAAACTAAGGACCTAGGTGGCTGTGCTCTCCCCGTCAGCTGCTGCTTGGCTTTGGTTTTACTGCTACAGCGTTTCCCTGAGTCCTCAGCTAGTACCTTACACTGCCTCTAGTTTAACCCTTTCTAGTTAAGAAACTGAGGCCTCAACCTTACTTCCCAGTACAAAACACATAGTAACAAAGTCAATATCAAATACTGAATGTCAGAAGTTTGGTAGCAACATAAAAGTGAAAAACATAGGCAAATATTTTTTGGCTAGTAATCTAATCTCTGGCTATTCTTGTATGTGAATAAGAAACCTTTTTCTTTTGGTCAATTCATAGTTTCATGGATGTACACCTTATAGCTCATGCCACCTCATTTACTAAGGGTCCACAGTTCCCATCGCTGCCAATCTGCAAAGAGCCCCACTTCACTGAGAGATGTGAATAGAAACTTCTCCCCTAAGTGGAACCTGCTTCCTATAAATTCTGCCCTTTGATCACTCCTTCCCACAATATCCTCTCAAATATTTACAGTTGGTCATTACATTTCCCACAAGTTCCTTTTCTCCAAGCTGTCACCTCCACATCACATGAACTTTGATCACGGTGGCCTCCATATACATGGCCTCTAAACATGCTAGTCTCTACATTACATGGCCTCTGACCACGCTGGCCTCCATATCACATAGCCTTTGGCCCTGACCATGGTGGCTTCCTTTCCTTGCTCCACTTAGCTTGTTCCACCCAAAGTAAGTAAGGAGCTAAAACAAACAGATTCTATGTGTTAGTTCATATGAAGAACACCAACAGCAATCTCTTACTAAGGACACAATATTTTTTTTTCTTTTTGCTTATGTGGTGCTGAGGAATCGAACCCAGGGCCTCATGCTTGCAAGGCAAGCGCTCTACCACTGAGCCACCTTCCTAGCCCTGAGGACACAATATTTCTTGACACTAGGTTTTAATTGAAAAATGAATAAATAAACAGAAGATCTTAGCTGTTCATGGTGGCAATGTCTGTAATCCCAACACTCAGGAAGCTGAAGCAGGAGGATCTTTTTTTTTTTTTTTTTGTGAACATACTGTACAGAGGGGTTACAATTACATGGGCAAGATAATGCGTACATTTCTTATCAAGCATTGCAGCCTCCTCCTTTGTTTACCCTTCAAATCCCTTCCCAGCCTCCCCATCCAATCTTCCCTCCCCCCCCATGGAGGAGGATCTTGAGTTTGCAGCTAGTCTGAACAATGAAGGCCTTTTCTTAAAAAAAAAAAAAAAAAAGCTGAGTCCTGATGGCTCATGTTTATTATAAATATTATAATACTACCTACTCAAGAGGCTGAGATCTTAGGATCAGTTTGAAGCCAGCCAGAACATAATAGTCCTTGAGACTCTTATCTCCAAGTAATCACCAAGTAGAAAGGTGACTCAAGTGATAAGAGTACTAGCCTTGAGAGGGAGGGAGGGGGAGAGAGAGAAAGATGGGGGGGGGGGGCCTGGGATAGCATCTAAGCCCAGAGTTCAAGCCACCGGACTGGCATAATAAATAAAGATAAATAAATAAAGCAAGAAAAATTTTAAATAAATATCTAATATTATGGCCTGTCAGTTTTTAAATTAGAATACCTATGTGGATGTATGCTATACTCATTTCTTTAATGATGGACATCAATGTTACTCCTATTCTATTAATATTACATGTCTTGCTACAATACCTTGAGGATATTGCATACTATTGCTAGGATTTCTTTGGGATGGATTCCCAAAGAAATTTCTAGACCAAACTCTTTTTCTAAGGACTCATACATCATTTCACATTTGCAGCATAAATAAACAATGTTTCCCACAACTTCTACATCAAAGTGGTATTTTCAAAATTTTAGGAAACTGACCGAACTTGATATATGAGGAATGATATCCGAATTTTATTTGTTTCTGCAATACAGGTTTCCACTAAGTTAGGTACAATGGTTTTAAACTCCTGGGCTCAAGCAATCTTTCCCTCTTAGCCTCCAAAGTATCTGAGACTACATGTGCATGCCACCATGCCCAGTTTGATATCTTCATTTTTTTTTATTGTGAAAATACTGTACAGAGGGGTTACAATTACATGGGCAAGATAATGAGTACATTTCTTATCAAGCATTGTAGCCTCCTCCTTTGTTTCCCCTTCTCATCCTCCCCCCCACCCCTCCACCTATTCCTCCCCCCCCACCAAAGTTGTAAAGTTTGTTTTCGACATAACGACTTGTACATCTCATTGTTGCAATGGGTCCACCTGTATCCCTATTTAAATGATTTGTTTTTCCCCTTCCCCTCCACAAATTATACCGACATCAAATACAGTGAAAGCAGGGGTTATACCGTGGGGGAGTGACATACAAAGTAAGAAAGAAATAATCTTAGAAATGTGTTAGAAACAATCGCATGACAGAAAAAAAAAACATTTGAATACATATCTTAGGGTTCATTTCCCTAACATCAACTTACCTGACTTTTTCTGCTTGACTCAGACATATACTAGATATTGCAAATAAGGGAAACCATGGGACCTATGTTTCTTTGGGCCTGGCTTACTTCACATAATATAATTCTTTCTGATGGAGGCATAGAATTCCATTGTGTATATATACCACATTTTCTTGACCCATTCATCTACTGAGGGGCATCTGGGTTGGTTCCATATCTTAGCTATAGTAAATAATGCTGCAATAAACATAGTTGTGCTGGTAGCTTTAGTGTGGTCTTGTTTGTGAACATTTGGGTAAATGTCCAAAAGTGGGATTGCTGGGTCATAGGGGAGCTCTATGTGGAGTCTTTTGAGGAACCTCCATACTGCTTTCATTTTATCATTTTAGTTCTTACTTAGCTTTTAATTCATTAGTGCACTTTAAAATGTTGGGGGAGGGGCTGGGAAGGTGGCTCAGTGGTAGAGTGCTTGCCTTGCATGCATGAGGCCCTGGGTTCGATTCCTCAGCACCACATAAGCAGAAAAAGCTAGAAGTGGTGCTATGGCTCAAGTGGTAGAGCGCTAGCCTTGAGCTGAAGAGCTGAGGAACAGTGCCCAGGCCCAGAGTTCAGGCACCATGACTGGCAAAAAAAATAAAAATAAATCAATAAAATGTCGGGGGGGTGAGGGGAAGCTGGGAAGGTGGCTCAGTGTAGAATGTTTAGAATGCTTGCTTTGCATGCATGAGGCCCAGTCAATCCTCATATCTCAGTTTCCTGAGTTGCTAGGATTACAGGTATGAGCCATTAGTGCCCAGTTATAATCATCTTCTTATAATTTTTGCCAAAATTACAGGCAGAACATAAGACATTACTATTTTAACTTGCTAATCTTCTAATAAGTCATATGACTGAAAAAACGTATGCACATAAAATCAGTTGCTTTTTGTTAAAAATTTAGCCTACCTTCTTCACTTGACAATGATATTCATCCACTTAAAACAGACCATTGCCCAGGAGCCAATGGCTCACACCTGTAATCCTAGCTATAGAGGACACTGAAATTTGGAGGAACAAAGTTGAAAGCCTATCTGGACAGAAAAGTCTGCTAGATTCTACCTACAAAATAACCATCAAAAAGCAAGGCTAGAGGTGTGGCTCAACTGTGGCATGCACTAGCAAGCAAGTCAAGTAAATGTAAGGCCGCAAGTTCAAACCCCACTACTGAAAGCACACAAGCATGTACTTTCATTCCCCCTCCCATCCCCAGTCCTTCAGATATCACTCTGCCAAATGTCTTCCCAAAATCAAAAGATACTATATAAAGAGGAATCACATTAAAAAAAATTAGAATGACTCTGCCTCAATTCAACAAACCTTCTGGGAGCCCATGATATGGGTTAGTTAACAATGTTGTATGCTGGGAAAACAGAGTCAAACTAGACATATCCTGTGGTTTTGTTTTTGGGTTTTTTTGGTTTTTTTTTTTTTTGCCAGTCCTGGATCTTGAAAACTCAGGGGATAGGCACTACCCCTGAGTTTCTTTTGCTCAAGGCTAGCACTCTACCACTTAAGCCACAGCTGTACTACCAGAGTTTCTCCTGTTTATATGGTACTAAGGAATCGAACCTAGGGCTTCATGCATGCTAGACAAGTATTCTACCACTAAGCCACATTCCCAGCTCAACTTGTGTCTTAAAAGAACTCAGTCTAAGTTAGGCACTAGTGGCTCACATCTGTAATCCTAGCTATTCAGGAGACTGAGATCTGAGGCTTGTGGTT